TGCCACCTTTGCTTTATCCAATCTATCATTGATGGGCATTTGGGTTGTTTCCCTGTCTTTGCTATCGTAAACAGTGCTGCAATAAACGTACATGTGCACGAGTCTTTATAGCAGAATGATTTATATTTCAAAACCCTACTTTCACGAAAAAAAGCCTAATCTCTAGGCCGCTCTATGTCACTGGGAGTGTGACAGGACCCCCCAGAAGCAGAGGCTATGGGTAAATTTCTCCTCTCGTCTCCCCATCAACTCCCACAATCCTCCCCTTCCTGCCCCCATGCACCCCAGGATGAAGGTGGGGGACAGAGTGCAAAAGCAAGAGCACTGCAGGTCAGTGTTTCTCAGCCCCTGGGTGACTGCCCACCTGGGAAGTACTGGGATACTCCACTTTGAAGCAGCTTTGGGAAATTTCGGTTAGGCAGAATCCCCAAAGAGTGATGGGGAAGATGGGTCTCCCCGGGACTGGGCATGCGCTTAAAGCAGGCAAGGGAGAGTGATGTGAGGGGAAGTAGGGGGGCATTTGGATTCCAGCCTGCGCACTTTCATGAGCCCTGTGATCTGGGCAGAGCCACTTCCTTCCTCTAAATCCCTGTAATAATCAGAAATGGCAGAACCCCAATCAAAGCCGCTGAAGCCTGAAAGGGAGGAAGTGTTTAACTGAGAAGCCTGGGGGTGCATCAGCTTCACACACGCTGGATCCAGGGATGCAGATAATGCCATAGGGAAATCAATCCTCAAAATGTCTTTGCTCAACTTTCCTTTGGGCTGGTTCCAGTCTCAGGCAGGCTCCACCTGGGTTGGAGAAAATGGCCACCAGCACTCCAAGCCCACATCCGACCAGCTCTGTGACTTCTTGTGGAGGGAAAACAACTCGTTCCAAAAGCTTCAACTGAAGTCCTAGAACAGATTCTCATTTATGAAGCCTGAGTCATGAGCCCACCTAAGAACCAATTTCCAGGGGCAGAGACCGTGGAGGATGATGGTCAATTCCACGTGGATACAGATGGAGGAGGTGCGCCTTCTCCCAGCCAGATGCAAGGGGCCTGAGGGACAGGAGTAGACTACCAGGACCTCCCCTGGCTTTGCTGTTCAACCCCAGCACATCCCAGGATGTGACCATCTCGGGAACCCGGATCGGTGGTAGAACAGAGTCAGCACTGCCCATGGCTCATCATGGCCTATGAAGGGCATGTGGTAGCATTAGATGAGAGGCCACCAGCCACAGCCCAGATGATACAGTCCCCGTACATCCCACACACTGCAGGGTGAGGACGATGGGGAAGCAGGTTCAGAAGCAGGGACACTCCAGGTCAGTGTTTGCTCAGGCCCTGGCAACCTCCCTCCTGGGAAAGGACAGAGGCTACCACAGGCCGGGACCAGATGCCACTCCACAGGGGCTTCTGGGAACACAGACCTCAGCTCTGAGGACCACAGGCATTCCCGTTCATACAGCCAGAGCCCCAAGCCTCAGCCCAATCATCCATGCCAGCCTGGGGTGACGTTTCCCAAGTCCCTTCAAAAGTGAGGACGACACAGTGAGGCATTTTGGGGGCTGGCTCTGTGTCCTTGAAAAGACTGTCCTCTGTTGGAGTATAAGGCCTTCCTGACTCTTTGGATTTGAAATTCCATTTCTTTTAGGAAATACTGGTGATAACAGTGTTATTATTATACTATTGCAAAACCAAGGATGTTGGGGTTTTTCTTCATTGTTGTTTTTAAACAACGCTAGTTGACCAAAATATAAAAGTTGGCAACTCCTGCCCACCCCTTCTGCCTGTGTCAAGCCCCCTATAAACTGCACCAAGACAAAGTCCTACCTCTCTCCTCCCTCCATAACTACCCAAAAACTGTCACTGCAAACAAACCTCCCTCCTATGTCCCTGCAGAAAGGCAGGTACTAAGTGTCTGCTGTTGCTGAGGGCTAGGGGAGAGAAGAGTGGGGCATCTGAGCAGCAGAATCCCCCAGAAGCTCTTAAAAATGCACAGTCTCAGGCCCACTCAATGGATCAGAATCCACATTTTAACCAGATTCCCAGTGACGTGTATGCACACAGAAGTTTCAGAGGCGCCGGACCAGACTTTATCAAAGGACCTCGTCTTGATCATTATGGCAACCAAGGGCCCCTAAGATGGGCATCTGCCTCTGACTTTTAGCCCCTGGGCATTCTACCCTGAGCATGGCTTCTCTCCCAGTATGGGAGGTCTACACCTCTTTCAGCCCTGCTAAACCCACACTTCGACTTCCATTCCATGATGACAGCTAACAGTCATGAAGCTGGTTCCACATGCCAGCATCCCTGGTGGTGGTCACTTCAACTCCAGAAGCCCCACAGGCCCATCCCTTCTTCACGAACGTTTTACCAAATCCCTCCAACCACCCCTGTCTACCCTGCATATGTAACTTTCCTCCTCGAATCCCCTAGAACACCGAGAACCCTCGAGCTTCCTTGATAAGCCTAAGGACCCTCTGCCCCTGAGTCAACATTTCTCATGCCTCCCTCCCCACTTCGACAGTACAAGCTTCTTGAGGGTGGCCGGGACTGGACCCCGCCTCTGTGCAAGGACCCCCACCCCAGGGGCACTTCCTGTAGATGGTGCTGGGTAACCGCCCACCCCAGGGGCACTTCCTGTAGATGGTGCTGGGAAACACGCCCACAGTGGCACTTCACTGTAGATGGTGCTGGGTAACCGCCCACCCCAGGGGCACTTCCTGTAGATGGTGCTGGTAACACGCCCACCCCAGGGGCACTTCCTGTAGATGGTGCTGGGTAGCCGCCACCAGGGCACTTCCTGTAGATGGTGCTGGGTAACCGCCCACCCCAGGGGCACTTCCTGTAGATGGTGCTGGGTAACCGCCCCACCCAGGGCACTTCCTGTAGATGGTGCTGGAGCAACCGCCCACCCAGGGGCACTTCATAGATGGTGCTGGGTAACCGCCCACCCCAAGGCACTTCCCTGTAGATGGTGCTGGGTAACACGCCCACCCCAGGGCCTTCCTGTAGATGGTGCTAGGTAACCGCCCCACCCCAGAGGCACTTCTGTAGATGGTGCTGGTGACTTACGCCCACTGGGTAACCGCCCACCCCAGGGGCACTTCCTGTAGATGGTGCTGGGTAACCGCCCACCCCAGGGGCACTTCCTGTAGATGGTGCTGGGTAACTGCACCACCCGGTGTCTCCCCAACTTCACTCTCGCGTCACCACTCTCACCACTCTTATGGATGTTGCTCTAATAGAACCACTTGGTCGAAAATGAATATAAAGTTTTCTTAAGAAAGTTTAAAATGAAAACTTGACATCTATTTTAATGGAAATGCAAAATTTTTCTAATGAAAAATTGAACAGGCTGGGCATGGTGGCTCAAGCCTGTAATCCCAGCACTTTGGGAGGCCTAGGCGGGCAGATCACCCTAGGTTAGGAGTTTAAGACCAGCCTAGCCAACCCCATCTCTACTAAAAATACAAAAATTAGCCAGGTGTGGTGGTGGGCACCTGTCATCCCAGCTACTCGGGAGGCTGAGGCAGGAGAATTGCTTGAACCTGGGAGGCAGAGATTGCAGTGAGCCAAGACCACACCACTGCACTCCAGCCTGGGCAACAGAGTGAGACTCCATCTCAAAAAAAGAAAAAAGAAAAATTAAACAGACATATATCTGATATGAACGTTCTTTATAAAATTAATAGTTCATTTACTGCCTAAAATCATCTCCCACACTGCCAGGAAATCAGTGTCATGATTGACACTAATGAGTTGATTGGACAGTGGCGACCACCAGGACACACTCACCCACGGGCTGGGCTTTAGGACCTGGCCCTGTATTCATGCATTCTGCAGGAGTGTTTCTTCTTTCCTTTGGCTGCATGGAACCCCCGGTCTACAGCCACACCCGCGGGTGTCACTTAATGCCATCATGGGGAGTTGGGTGCTTCCTTCTAGTGACTTGCCATCAGTCACAGTGGGAAGACAGAAGGCCACAGTGGCAGTCTTGACAAGCAGGACACTCATTCAGTGCCACCCACTGCAATTGTGTTGAGGACAATTGTGAGATTAAGAGAATTCTATTTCATGAGCACTAAGCTCCAATTCCAGAGAGGCAACCATTGTTTATTCTGCTCCATTGTCTGACAAGGAGCAGAAGACGGAAGCCTCCAGATCTTCTGGGGACAGGCATGGAGCTCACGCCCTGGAAGGGCAGGATGATCATGTGAAGAGAACCAGGAAGAAGGCAACCACTCACGGCCACAGAGAAAGTCCTGGGACAGATCCTGCCCTCATGGCCCTCAGAAGGAGCTCGCCCTGCTGACACCTTGATTTCAGACCTCCAGCCTCCAACACTGCGAGAGAGTAGGTTTCCACTGTGGAATTCCCCAGTCTGCAGCACGTGCTAGGGCAACCACAGGAGATGGGCTCAGCCAGAACAGGGGAGGGAGAAGGGGAAGGCTGGGCCTTCTCGGGCAGCCAGGACCTTCCTGGGAAGAAGGGAGATGGGGCAAAGGCTTGAGCCTCCACAGGCACCAGAGAAGCAGAGGCCTGGGGACCAGGAGGAGGCTGCCCCTGCCACCAGAGCATGGTAGGGGCATGACATAGAGAAAAGGAACCAGGTGGGCAAAGGCTGCCCCCGAGCCAGCATCCACGCACATCGCCCATGCCACCTCAGGAACCAAGGGGCCTGGCACCTCATTATTTAAAAGTTAAGTCTCACCGGGTTGTTGTGAATCTATAGATGTGGTAAAATTTCATACAATTATTCACTGAAAAAAAAACAGCAAAAGTGCTTGTAAAACCTGGTAGAATTCGCTAAGGCCTCTGGTTTAGTTAACATCACTGTACCGACGTCCACCTCCTGGTGCCAATCAGTGAACCACGGAAAGGTGGATGCTGCCATTGAGGGAAGCTCTGCAACCCCCATGTGAGTCTAAAATTATTTCAAAAAAGTTTAGAAAGTGTAAACAATTGTACTAAAAATAAAAACAAACAAAGAAACCAAAAACAAGGTCTAACCTCTGTGGCTCTTCCTGGCACAGGGCTGCGGCTTCTCAGTCCTTTTCCCAGCCTTCCAGGGTCCCGCAAATCCATCCTCCTCTGACCCACCTAGTAGGTGCTGTGGGGAATCTTCCAGAGCACAGGCAACAGGAGAGGTCTCGAGACCAACCAGGAGCCAGGAGAATGAACTGATCCTCTCCCCCACTTTGTGTTTCTTTGTGTTTTTGTGAATTTTGTCAAACAGAACTCAGGGAGAGAACAGGACTCGCCTCTCTCCCCGGGAGCCAGGAGCCAGAAATGCCTGCACGTGGCCCCATGCACGGCTGCACTCCGAGGGCCAAAGCCTCCATTCATGCACAGGCTGCGGGGACAGCACAGCGCTTGCTCTCTGTGAAATGCCCGATTTCAGCCTGCAGCCATCACTAGCTTGCACAGCATCCCTGGCCTGCCTCAATGGCAACCCTTGTCCCTGAGAAGCACAAAGCCGCCTCTGCTCTGGAGCCAGGGCTGCAGCTGGGGGGCGTCTCCACCCCATGACTGGGCCCATTCTTCCCCAGCACACAGGCGACCCTGCCAGGGAACACGCATGGCTCGGAGCTCCCAAGTACTCTCTCCTGGCAAGTGAGGAGTGTAAATAAATCTTGGGAGGAGGACATGAGAGAGAAACACAGTCCCCGGAGGACAGTATTCTGGAGTGGCCACATGAGTTGGAAACTTCTATGCTGAAGCCTTAAGAGGTTGGTGAGTTTCCTGTCACTGAAGGCATTCGAGCAGGGACAAGAATTTTCCTGGGCAGGGATAGGCTAAGGAAGGGGTGGAAGGAAGCAAGCACAGCCTGGATAGGTGGATGGATGGAGAGAGAGATAGATACACAGATTGATAGATAATGGTAGATGATCGATTAGCAGATAGATGATAGATTATAGATATATTGAAAAATAGATGATAGATCTATTGATACATAAATAAAAATAGATAAATGATAGATTGATGGCTAGATGCTAGAATATAGATACATTTATAAATAGATGATAGATACATTGAGAGATAAATAAAAAATAGAGATAAATGATAAATATATGGATGACAGACACATACACAGATACACAGAGGCTTCCTAAGCAGGAGGGCATCACTGAGTCACAGATGCAGGTGGGCACCTGACGTAATCAGTGTTGTCCAGTCCCAGATATCTCTATCCAACCACACACCTCTCCCCATCGCCAGGTACAATTTCCACCTGGGGATCTGATAGGTCTCTCAAACAGAACCTGTCCAAAGCTGAACAGAGCATTGATTTGCCCAGCCCCCATCCTGCTCATCTCAATGGCTCCTCCCCATTGCTGCCAGAGCCTCTCCATCCTTCCAGCTGCTCAGGCTGGAACCCTTCGAGTCATCCAGGACTCTTCTCTCTCACGCCAGCCACCTGATGCCTCTCACACCACACCCAGCTCTACCACCATCTTAAGTGGATTCTCCGAAAAGCAGAGCTGCAGGCAGGCTTAGGTGCAGGTAGCTTATTTGGGAGATGTCTCAGGAAGCAGAAGCAAGGGAGCAAGGAGAGTGAGGGAGGGAGGAGGGGCAAACCCACACACAGGTGCATTTCCCAGGTCACAGCTGTAGGCAGCAAGGCTGCATTCTGTGAAAGCTCCAAGAAGCACCCACCTAAAGGATGCATGCCCAGGATGTTTACTCCCATTCCGTCAGCTGAGGATTGTCCTTCAGACATTAGATCCCCTAATGTTCTGGCTGCACTTTGATGCTTGGGAGAATATCCACAGCACCGGGCTAATGGCTGTGCTGTGCTGGAAAATGTTTGAGTGTTGTAAGGGAGATGATATGTACATTTGCCAATTGCCATGGTGTAAATATTTCCCCCTGCGGCCAGCTTGCATCATTCATGAAAATGTAACCACCTGTTCCAACACAGCGCTCATCACCCAACATGCTTGTTGATTGAAGCCACAGCTGAAGACCAAGGCAGAGTTGGTCCAAGGAGCTGTGATGCAGGCACCAAAAACAGCTACTGTGAACAAACTGCTCCAAACCACCAGTATCTCTGACTAAATGACCTTCGAATCCTCCCTTGCCCAGCACATCTCACACTGCAGCCATTCAAATCTCCTTCAACGGGCAGCTCTGAAAATAAAGCCCAGGTCTTCCCCCAGGCCTTGGCACCTCCCCAGGATCCTCCCCTGGCCACCTCTTGGCATTGTAGGCATCAAAAACTTGCCCTTCTCCATCACTCACTCAGATTCCCTGGTCTCCTTGTTCCTCCCACACCCAAGCACATGCCTGCTGCAGGGCCATTGCACCTGCTGTTCCTGCTGCCCTAGTGCTCTTCTCAAGGGTAGTCACATGACCAGCTCCCTCACTTTGCCTGGTCTCTGCACAGATGCCCTGCTCTGAGGTCCTCTCTGACCAACGATCACAGACAGTCGGGCTCTCCTCCCTGCCAGTCTCATTCCTCCAGTCTCACTTGATCATCATTCAAGGCATCTATAACCACCTAGAGTCCTATCACACATCTATTTCTATGCTGTCTGTTTCCCCTCATCCCACGAGACTACTCACTCCATGAAGGCAGAGACATCAGTCATCACCACAACCTGCCACATATAGCTATATGCAAACTCCAAAACCAGTGACAGACTTAAAACAGGTGTCCAGTAAATATTTGTTGAATGGCTGGTGACCATGAATTCTGGACGGAGAGTTCAGATTGGTTTCATTTTTAAATTCCCTGCAGAGTTTTGCAAATAATATGTCTGGCTCTCAACTCCTGGGTCAGATGCCCTCTACAGTTTGGTCCAGCCCTGGTACCCCAAGGTGGGTTGGCCTCTCCCCAGCACAACGGAAGCACTGAGATTTCTTGCAGCACAGGAATCTCCACACCCCTCACCGCAAACCCTGAGGTATGCGGCCATAGATATAAGCGGTGAACCCTCCAAATGCCTCCCAGACCCAGAAACAGCCAGAAACGAACAGAGAAGTCTCATCTCAAAGTCAGTCCCTGCCCAGGAGCTCTCGGCCAAGAACCCCAGCGTAACAAGGGTGAGAAACAGCCCCAGGCTGTCACACAAGACAGAGACGGTGCATGCAGAGGAAAAGCCTGCATGCATCCATGGTGAGGATGTGCCCACTCTGATATTGGGGTGAGAGGAGGAAAACTGGGCTCAGAGGGGGAAAGCTGGGCTCAGATGGGCAACGGGAGTCGGGCAAGTTCCTAAGCAAGAGAAGAAGCCAAAGGCGGCCAGGGAGACATCAACGCGTTCCTCCCGCACAGCCATGACATCCTACAAATGATCTCTCTTAATTTTAACATCAGCTTTGGGAGAGGGCCATGAATAGATTTCTAAATATATTCCAGAGCAGAATTAAGTGGGATCTTCCAGTTTCTGAAAGTGACTCGCGGAGAGTGCATCAGATGGGATGAGAACATGACATCAGCCACAAAGGCAGCCATACTGGGCAGCTGCCTGCCAGGCAAGCCCTGTGCCCGCAGAGACCATTCTCAACCACTCCTCCCAACCACACCAGCTCCACACACCTTCTCTAACAGGAATGGGGCTTGCCTCAGGGTCAACTGAGGCCTCTAGCTATCAGATTCCAGAGATCTCTGCAGACCCTGGCTCTAGGCAGAATTTACAAAGAAAACAAATGAGAATCTATTCCATGACTCAAGATGCCCTCCAAGCAGATAAGGAATGTAAAAAGAAGTTCTGGATTGAAGGACATTCTACAGAACACCCTACAGGTGCTCCTCAAAACCGCTAAGGTCACCAAGAACAAGCAAAGTCAGAAAAGGTGTCACAGCAAGAGAACCCAAAGGTACATGATGGCCAGATGTCATGTGGGATCTGGATGGGATCCTGAGATGGAAAAAGGGCATTAGAAAAATACCAAGGATGTTGGAATAAAGTATGAACTTGAGTTAATAATAATGTTTCAAGAGTGGTTCATTAGTGATACAAATCTACTATAAGAATGAAAGGGAATCAGGGTGTGGGGTTTACGTAAAGTCTTTGTACTAGCTTCACAATTTTTCTATAAAATTTAAATTACTCTAACATTAAAAGTTTTTTTTAAAATCTTCTTTCTATCAGACTGAGTTGGGGGCTCCAGCAGGTCAGCTCCAGCCCCTGGAATATGTTCCTTGGGTAGGCCCACAGAATGGCACTTGAGGTGCCAGAGACCACTCGCATAGGGACTGAGGCGGCTGCGCTGGACCAGCCTGCACACCCGGCTGCCAGGAGGTGCCTCCCACAGGCTACACAGGAGCAGTGTGGGAGGGAGACCAGGCCGGAGACATTTCTAGTCTCCAGAGCAGGGTGTCCTCAGATCAGCAGCATCAGCGGCACCTGAGATCTTGCTAGGAATGCATGTTCATGCTGGCTTCATGGCAGATGCGTCAAGTCAGGAACTCTGGGAAGGGACCCAGCATGCCGCGTAGACAAGACCCCAGGCGAGTCTCATATACCCTAAAGCTTGAAACCCCCGCTCTAGAAGATCACCCAGGAGGACAGGGACCCCAACAGGGAGCAGGTGTGGAGCAGTCCGCCAGTGCATCAGGAGCTGTGGGATGCAGCCATGTAGGAGTTGGTGCATGCTGTACTTGGCTTGAAAGATGACCTGGGATCAAAATATTCAGACACCCATAAGAGCACCAAAAGAGAGGCAATTTTCACCAACTTCCAGGCCCACATCAAAGAAAGCCACCCTCTAGAGACACTGCCCCAACCATTTCCCACTCTTTTTTTTTTTGAGATGGAGTCTCACTCTGTCACCCAGGCTGGAGGGCTATGGCTGGATCTCAGCTCACTGCAAGCTCTGCCTCCCGAGTTTACGCCATTCTCCTGCCTCAGCCTCCCGAGTAGCTGGGACTACAAGCACCCGCCACCTTGCCCAGCTAGTTTTTTGTATTTTTTTAGTAGAGACGGGGTTTCACCGTGTTAGCCAGGATGGTCTCGATCTCCTGACCTCGTGATCCGCCCGTCTCGGCCTCCCAAAGTGCTGGGATTACAGGCTTGAGCCACCGCGCCCGGCCCCATTTCCCACTCTTATGTCCCCACCCTCCAAATCGAGAGGCGACACACCAGCAGCTCCCATCCACTTTCCACCGCTTCTCCTGCCAGTGGGTCCAGTTTCCCTCTTAGGAAACCAAAATAGGACACCCCCTCTACACAATACCCAGGGGTGCCAAAGCAGAAGTGGGGTGACCTTTCTGAGTCCCAGATCAGCGGGTCACCCTCTACTCCATCAGTGTCAGGAGCTCTCCATCACTCCACAGGATACAGACAAAACCCCTCAACCTGGTCTTCTCTGTCCTGCGTGGCAGACCCGAGCCACCTCCCCATTCCCACACACCAGCTGTTCAACCCATGCTCACACAGTGCCCTTCCCACCACAGGGCCACCACATCCACTGTTCCTCTGCCAGGGACAGTGGTCACCATCCCCACCCCACCTTCATCTGGTCCATTCCCACATACCCTTCAAACTTCGTATCTGTATGCACCAGATACAGTTTTAAGAGGAAAAAGCCAGGCACAGAACAGGGGCTAGCGTATGTTTCCCTTCATGTTAAAAACAAAAGAAGAAGAAAAAAATGTGTAGAAATCTCCTGAAAGCGCACATAAGAAACCCATCAGCAGCTGTCTCGGAACAAGTGATGGGTGCACAGCCAGACAGACCTAGTTTTCACTAATGAAAAAGATAGTCGATATTTGTTGAATACATACATATAATATATACATACATACATATAATAGGCACGTGACAGATCATACCATTTAACCCCCGCAACAACTGCATGGTGCGGACAATACTATAATTCCCATTTTGTAGATGAGGAAACTGAGGCCAAAGAGGAGAAGCAGACAGCTGGCAGGTCGTAACATGGGCTGGACCAAGTCTGATCCATGTGGAGCTGGCATACCTGCCCCACCCCATCCTATCTCCAGCCGCCCTGGAATTTTTCAACATGCGCGTGTTCTACTTTTCCAGTTTTAAAAAGCCTGTTGAGTTTTTTTTTCCATAATACTCCTGCCTCCCACAAAAAGCATTTATTTTCCCTTCCCTGCCTATATTTCCAAGGGGTGGGGGAATGTTTTTGAAAGCTATACAGCATACAGGAACCATGGTTCTGAGGGTTTGCTGAAGATTTTTTTTTTTTGGTCAAAGCTGCTGTAAAATTAGAATCCTTGTAGAAGCCCTCCTCAAAATACATTTCACAATGGGATTACATATTAGCCCAGGGGTTGTGCTCCAACAGGATAAGCCCAGGCACTCTGGATAGCAGTTCACAGCTTTCAAGCAGGATGTGCATCTCCTGGTGGGTGCCAGGAATCATCAGCCCTGGCCAGAGCTGGCTCCCCCAGTAGCCAAGGGCAGATGGACAGATGGGAGCTGGTGTCCAGCTCAGGTCCCGAGATGTCTCTAACCCCTGGTCTCCCTCATTCCCAGTGTGGAGCTGAAGGGTCAAGAGACACACATGGCCTCTCTGTGTGCAGCGAGGTACTGGGACAATCTCTGGGCCTCCGCAGCAAACAGGGACACCCCTTGCAGCAGTCGCACAGCAGCCTCCTCCTGAGACAGTGACCACTGCAAACCAGGAGATGGCTGCTGCGTCAGCAGGTCCAGCACTTTCTACTCTGCTAACTGACATGAACAGAGCATTTACCAGAAGGTAAATTACAGTTATGTTACTGTAATGTCGAAACCCTGCAAAGGTCACGTGCCTCATCTGGAACTCATACCCACCCCAGGAGTAGGAACTAGCATTGTCCCCAATTTATAGGGGAGGATCCCGAAGCATGGCCTGATGAAGGGACTGACAGAGGTTGGCCAGGCACAGTCAGTAGGGCTGAGGCTGAAGCCTGACCCAAAGGCCAGCTTTCAGGCACCCGGGCGCACTGGCTCCAGCTCTCTGCAGGAGGGATGCACTATGGCCCTGACCCTGAGTCCCTTTCAGCCTTTCAAAAAAAATGAGGAGAAGTTATCACAAAAGAATCAGGGGACATATGCACACGTGCACACCTGCACAAACACTTGTACAGGCACATACACACATGTACAAACACACACGCATACACACGCAATGACTCATTCTCCCAATGACTTTCGACAAAAATAAGCAGAAAAAGCTATAGTGAAGGTTATCGCCTAAAAGACAGATGGCAAAGTTGACCTTAAAAGATCTGCTTGTGAGTCTCAGCGGCTGTGCCTTCTCCCAGGAGCTGCCTCTGCTCTCTGGGAAGAAAGGAGGGGAGTGGGTAGGGAAGAGGTAAGACAAATTAAGCGCCACGTGATTCTGCAAAGGTGACCTCTCTTCCTTTGTCCTCTGCAACCCCAAACTCTTTTCCAGCTTGGCACACAGTATGTGGCGGATGTGGCTCACTGTGCCCCCCACACCTCCCCAGGGGCTGGTGGCCTGTGCTTCCTGTCACCTGTGTACAGCTCCTGCGGGGAAGGCCACTGAAGCAGGCAGGAAGGCTAGATTGCCACTGCCAGCCAGTACCTACCAGGGAAAGGCCACTGGAAAATCTACAAAGGGTTCTGGGCTACCCATGAGGGCAAGAAAGACAGGAAAGAGGCAAAGATCTTATCATGCACCAGAAATATGCCTGAACCCCAGAAGAAAGAGAGAAACGGGGCATGTTACGTGTGCCAAGACCATGCTCCCAGCTCTGACACCATGGATGGTTCCCAAGATGTGCCAGGCTGACATGGGCTGCCCAGCATGGCCCCACCTAATCCCTGTGTGGGATCCGACTCATAGGTCCTTCCACAGGGCAAGAGCAGGAGACTGGGCAAGCCCCAACTCTGCCACCTGCTCCCTGGGGAACCCGGCTACATCACAGTCTTTGTGCACCGGGTGCTCACCTACAAATAACCGACCTGCACAGGGGTCTGCAAGGATGAGGAGGAAGCAGGCGTGGGAGCCCACAGCCCCTGAGAGCACCCTCCCAAATTCTACACAGCAAGCACCTCAGCAGAGGCGAGGACCTGGAGGCCTGGAGCATCTTACGCTGCCAGAAAGCAAGAAAGAGCTCAGACAATGATGGGAGCACTCCACTGGCACAGACGCCAACTCGAAGGAGCTCCCAGTGGCCATGTCTGGGACAGTTCCAGCAACAAGAAGATGACAGCAGCGGACTCTGCTCCACAGGATCAACATACACGCAGGCGTCCACACTAGCATAAGTAAACAGGTGAATAAAGGCAGGGGAGCGTGGGGGAAGCTTTCCTTTATTAGTGAGTAATGGAACTCACTAATACATTTAAGAGAAATGACGGAAAGAGAGCCACCCCTGAACACGCACCATGGTGACAACTGGCAGGCGAGGATTCCCAGGGCGGGAAAATATACGATGAGAAACAATGTCTGACAGTCTCAAGGTCGTTTCCCACAAAATGCTGACGAATTACAAAGAGGAAGAAAGTGTTAACTTTAGAGCAGACACCTGGCTGAGCAACCAGTCAACATCACCAGGATCGGTACAACTGACCTAGGGGTCTCCAGCGACATCACTTATGGGGGATTTGTGCCAATAACGCATAAATTGGATTTAATAAGAAGGAAACATCAGACAGCCCCTCATTTAGGGACAGTCTACAAACTAACTGAAAGTCCTCTTCAAAGGCATCAGGCTATGAAGACGCTAAGGAACTGTCCCACATTGGCGGACGCTAAGGAGACGTGCTGGCCGGATGCCACGTGGGATGCAGGGGGATCACAGGATAGAAAAGCATGTTGGCAGAAAAATGGACTCAATTCAGATAAGGTCAGTAGATGAGTTAATTGTATTGTACCAAAGCTAATTTCTTGGTTTTGATGACTTACTGTACTTAAGTGGGATGTTATTTGGGGAATATAGGTGAAAGGTATGCAGGAGTTATTTTTTACTATTTTGTGATATTTTTAGATGTCTAAAATATTTCAAAGTGAAAAGTTTAAAACTGTTCTAAAGGAAATTAGAAATACACATAAAAAGGAGTGAATATGGGGCCAGCTTGAGAGTCACACTAGTAAAGCCACCAGGTAACCATGGAAACACTCTGGGGTTAGGGTGAGTGTGAGGAGCCAGGGAGGGCCTCAGAGGGTTACCCCTTCAGGTCCTGTGTGCCCACAGGGAGGGTAACAACAGTCACAAGGGCCCTGACACTTTCACAGCTGGCACAGCCTCCAGGCCACTCCTCCTGCGACCTCAGGACAATGCCATGACCAGCCCATTTCACAGATCAGGAAACCAAGGCAGCACAGAGCAGAAGCATCAGAGTCTGGCCGCACAGCTTTGCATCTCAGCTCTGTCAGGGTAGCCAGGTGACCAGGATGATCCCTTCACCTCTCTGAACCTGAGGCTTTCCCCTGTAATATGGAAGCAATAAACTTCCCTCCCCGTATTAGTTTTCCATTGCTGCATAACACAAAACCATAAGCTTACGGGCTTAAAATAACACCCACTTATTAGCTCATAGTTCCATAAGTCAGAAGTCAGGACACAGCAGGACTGGGTCCTCTGTTTGGGGTCTCAAAGGCTGAAATCGGTGTGTCAGCCCAGGTGCCTTCTCATCAGCTCGGGGTCCGAAAGGCTGAAATCGGTGTGTCAGTGGGGTACCTTCTCATCTTCCCTCAAGGGGAGACTCTACTTCCGTGCTCACTCAGGCTGTTGGCAAGAGTCAGAACCCTGCAGCTATGGGACTGAGATCCCTATCTCTCTGTTGACCACCAGCAGGGGCCACTCTCAGCTCCTAGAGGTCACTCACATTCCCTGCCACATAGTCCCCTCCATCTTCAAACCAGCATCCCCCGCTTCCATCCTGT